GTGTAATATTTTGAACATCTGTAGTGTCACACACGTCCTGTCTGAGGCCACCTCTGCATGGAGAAATATGAGGGAAAAAGACTGAGGAGTTAATACAATTCGTCGCCTAGTCCTTCCTGTAGCTCTTCCACGTTGGTCACCTCTGTGCTCTTCTCATGGCTGCCACACCGGGCCAGGCTTTTTTGCACGGAATCGGATTATTACAGCAGCCTCTTACCTGGCCGACCTCCAGTGTGTCTTTACTCGGGTACATGCCACCTACCATTTTTGGAGCCCAACTCTGACCCTGTCACTCTTTGTTTATAATCCTTGAGTGGTGCCAGCTGACTATCAAACTAAGGCCGGATTCCCTGGGCTGATATTCAAGGCCTTTACAGTCTAATTTGTCACCCGGGAATTCCCTCCTGTTGGCTGTCCTTTAGTCACGCTGGGTTTCAGCTCATCTTTGGCCACTTCCCACTTCCATGCGTGATGTGTACACCATTCTCTTCATCTAAAACGTTCTCTCCCTACTTCTGTACTTGCTGAAATCCTATCTGTCATCAGGGTCTAAATCAAATCCTGCCTAATTTGTAAAGTTTCCCTTACCGTGTCTGATGTTATAGGTCTTAGGGCATTTATACTCTGTTCACAGTGGTAGCTATGTTTGTGCTAAAGCTTTTCCTTCATTCCTATTCCACTAGAGTAGGAATAAGAAGAGAGGTGGTGTTTTACTTTATCCCATCAACCACTTAACAGTGGTTTGCATGTAAGCGTGAGGCGAACATTTGTGGCATTCACAGATGAAATCAGATTTGCAGTAATATGTCTTCTTGATGTTCAAGAGAAAGCTGAAGGGCCTGTGCTCATGAATCTGAGCTGACTTGACCACTCCAGTGTGCTAACTGAAGAAGCTAATTGTTTGGGGAGGAAATAGGTTGGGAGGGAGCAAGAAGCTATGAAGTAGAGCTGGCAAGTGCCACTCCTACTCAGGGGCTCCAAGGATGACTGGTAGGGCCTCAGACATGAACGGAGCTCAGAACTCCATCCATCGGGTGGAGGGGGAAGGACTCAGCTCTGGAGGTGGTTAGGTTTGGGGGCCCAGGGGCTGTTAAAGGTTGTTTTCATCTGCTTGATTCCAAGTTTGCCTGGCTCAGAGCTAGAACTTGGGGAGGGAGGCGCAAAGCACAGACTTCAGGTTGCCACATATTTCTATCCTGTTGGCCAGGGCTCTGACAACAGGTAGAGCTGGAGTCCATAGGGCCACCAAGGATCTCCCCTAACCAGGCTGCCACCTTGTTTTCTCAGGTTGAACAAAGGTGAGCTCAAGGTGGCTGTTAATAGTTTACCCAACCTTGACATTCTTCTCTGACCCGTGAGGGTGTTATTCCAAGACTGAGGGGAGAGAAAAGGAGTTCGAAGCAGCAAAGGGTGGTTTTAAGCACTAGTTTCTTAAATTAGTGACATTTTAAAAAATGCTCATGTTGAGGTTTCAAGTCTGGGGATTCTGAGTCAGTAAGTAGATCTGAGGTGGGGTCTAAGCATCTACTTTGATAGGTGATCTCTATAGGTGATGGGGGGGTGGAGCTAGGATTCAGAATCAAACTTGTAAGGTGATTGTGAGGATTAAGTGAGATAATGTACCATGCTTGACACATAGTGAGTTCTCAAATGGTAATTTATTATCAGTGGTATATAGATTTACATTTCAACTAAGTATATCTGTCAGTTCAGATGAGGCCAGCAGGTGCCTTTGGGCATGGGTGGGGAACTCCCAGGATTGAAGACGTGAATAGAGAGTCCATTATTCTTGCCCAGCTGGTGTGACTCAGCGGTTGAGCATCGACCCATGAACCAAGAGGTTGCTGGTTCAATTGCTGGTCAGGGCACATGTCCCGGTTTTGGGCTCAGTCCATGCAGGAGGCAGCTGATTAATGCTTCTCTCTAATCGATGTTTTTATCTCTCTATCCCTCTCCCTTCCTGCCTCTCTAAAAGACAATTAAAAAACCCACCATATTAAAAAAATAGTTAAAAAAAATTATTCTTGCTGACTTCACTTCCACAGTGGTTATCACCTCTCTTCCTTCCTCAGAATAATTTGCTTCCCCTGGTCTGTGTTTTATCTGGTCTGTAGCAACTTCAGGATTCCTTTACAAAATGATAACTGGAAGCTCACAGAAGTTAGACAAATAATTGCTTTTACTGCATGTTTGCTTTTGTATTGGGAACTGTTTTGGGTTCTTGTCAGATTCCCACTGAACTTGAGACTCTCAAATATTTCTCAAGGGATCATGGATTAAGATCCCTTTATTCCTAACCAGTCCCCTGCCCTGGGTAGGCTTATGAACATGCATGCCCGTGTGATTAAAAAAAAAAAAGTTTTAATTAATTTCAGAGACAGGAAGGGAAAGGGGGAGAGAGAGAGAAACATGAATGATGAGAGAGTCATTGATTGGTTGCCTCCTGCACACCCCCGACTGGGGATCGAGCCTGCAACCTGGGCATGTGCCCTGACCGGGAATCGAACCACGATCTCCTGGATCATAGGACCATGCTCAACCGCTGAGCCACACCGGCCAGGCCCATGTGATTTTTTAATTGGACATTTCCACATATAGCAATGACCTTAGGACAGAGTGATCTCTAACATGCAGGGTGACAGGGCTGGCACGCGTCACTATAAGCCTCTATAAGCCTCAGTGACAGGGATTCACTGAAATGGAGTCTCACTCTTTCCCCACTAGCCCTGCTGCAGAACGTCCTGTAGCTTCCGTCCCCAACACACAGACCGAGGCGAAAATGAGACTTCCCCTTGGCCTCGGCCACCTCAGCTGCACTCCTCCGGCTGCTTGGGTCTCACGTGTGCAGTCGTGATGCCCCGGGAGCCCCTCCCGGCTCAGGCTCCGGCCCCTGCAGAGCTGCGGGGTGAGTGCTGACTCGGGGTCACGGGTGGGCTGTGTTGATGGCGGCCCGGGAGCTGGGAAGGCCCGGCCTACCTTGGACTTGGAAGAGTCCCCTGGGTCCCAACATGTAGCTCTTTCTTCTCTGGCCACACCCAGCGGTCTACCTAACCCTCCTTGTGGTCACTGTCTAGACTCCCTAACTTCTAAAATGTACCTAATTTTTCTTCTTGACCATGAGCTTATTATTTTCTATCCCGGTAGCAATAATAGAATTCTTTTAGAAAAAGGTGGGGTCTAAAGGTATGATTAGTAATTCAGATTGATTTACAAAATCTCTGTGGGACTCACCCCCGTGTGTTCCTGCCCACCAGTCAGCACTTCGTTCTCTTTTCTGTAGACAAATGACTTTGTTGTCTAGAATTAACTTTTTCCCAGAGCTCAGTAATGGTTATAGCTTTCTTTCATTTCCAGTATTTTATTTTGGCTATTTGAACGTGGAAATAAATCCTGCTGAAGATTTAATGGCCCTGGCTTTAGATTTCTGTTAGGAGATCATAGAAACCCGTAGATCTTCCCTAGTCACATATCTACCCACCACAGGAGTCTGATCTCTGGCCTTTCTCAGGAAGCAGAGATGGAGGTAGGGGGCTGAAGAAACAGGAGACAGTATCCTTAAATATGAAGATCCTTCCTAGTTAGGCCCTGCGTTCCAATCCCAGGCATCCTCCTCATCTACCAGTGACGGGGTCTTTTTTAAAAATTTATTTTAAATTTATCTTTATTGTTGAAAGTATTACAGATGCCCCCCTCCCCTTTTCCCCCACTGACCCCCTCTACCCTGCATCCCAGTGATAGAGTCTTGCTCCAGTGACTGACCCCAGCCCTGACTCAGAGGCCAGTGTAACATCAGGTTGTGGACTCGACAGAGCTGGGACTGGAGCAGGACCAGCCTCTTCATTACTAGTTTAATCATCTCCCTACAAAAGTGTTAGGACCCCAAGGGCCCCACGTACGGCTAGGCTTTGGGCGTTTGATCAGCCTTCTCCATTGGTGCAGATGAAGGTGTTAAACGTACCATCAGCTTGAAATGTGCACCAGCATTAAGCCTTTAGGGGCTGAATTGTGGGGAGGGCAGATGTGGTTACAGGGGGCGATCAGGGGCTCAACCAGTCACTTTTCCAACCGGCATGTTGCCATTTCTATCAGTATTTCTATTGGTGTGAATGGCCAAGTTCTCTGGGCTTCAACCACAGATGTGAAAAGAAGCTTTGACCTCAAGTGCCCAAGGCTTCAGAGACACAGGGCAGACCTGAGTGACTGTGGCCCGACCGTCTAAACACTCAACAAGTAAAAGACAACTTGACATTTTGTCCAGAAATAGTGGTTTGTGTTTCCTTGCATATCAGGCTTTCTAGTTTCTGTTGGGACACAAGAACACTGCCTTGTCCCCTCCTCCCCAAACAGGACTAGTCCTACTAGCAGGGAAGTTTCATCTCCATCCAGTGTGAGATCAATGAACTTTAGGTGTGGGAGCCTCAGAAATAAGCACTCGCATGCTGACCGCAAACGGCCTTCTCTCTCGATGGAAACACAGCCTCCAAAGGCCTTTATGGCCTTTACTTTGCTTATAAGGACTTGTTTAGAATTTTGTAGGGTCTGGAAGAGGTTTCTCTGTAATTGCCTCCGAACCTCAGAGCGTTTGTTTTCTATCCTTGAAGCTTTTCAGGGCTATGACATTGAGAGCTGACAAGGACAAGGGTCGGCTTTGGGTACAGATGTGGGTTGGAGGCTCGCAGGCCAGTCGTTAGAGAGTCAGGGGCTGTGCCCAGGTGCCTGTGCGGGAGAAACCCCACTCCCGCTTTCTTCTTTCTACCCACAGTGCATAGAAAGCGGCGGTTGGTTGGTCCTGATACAGCAGAGCTGCTAAGCTTCCCCAGGTTGTTTTTTTTAAAAAAACCCCTCTTTTCCATTGCTTTTCAGAGAGAGTGGGAGAGAGAGAGAGAAGCATCGAAGTGAGAGAGACACACGGATTGGTTGCCTCCCCCATGCTCCCCTACCAGGGCCAGTGGTGGAGCCTGCAACCGAGGTACATGCCCTTGGCAGGAATCGAACCCGGAACCCTTCAGTCCGCAGGCCAACGCTCTGACCACTGAGCCAAATCGGCCAGGGCGCTTTCCCAAGTTTGAGGAATGACCGCAGTGATTAGGGCTTCACTCTCTTCCCCTGATATTCAGTGGGAGGGTTCAGGCCCTGGGCCCTTGGTAAGAGATCACTGGAAACACTGCCTGTTTGTTTATTGTTTCCCTGGCTGCTTAGTCATTCATGCCACTGCTGGTGTGGCTGCCAGGCTCTGCTGAGCCCACGTGAAATGGCCGAGTCACCAGGTAGTGGGAGGCTTTCTGCCCGGCTTGTACTGTGCGTCTCTGTGGGCACAAAGGTCGGAGATGGCAATCCTGAGTTACCAGGTGTGGCGTCCAGGGAGCCTGGAGCACTTTGTCTCTCCTCCCTCCTCCACCCCCATGCACTGTATGGCCATCAGCTCCTGTCCCTCCAGGAGGGAAGGGACAGTCCGTTTATTCTCTGATTAACTGGTAGAGAACAGATGAGAGGAACACGAGGGGTTGCCCTGCAGGCGGTTAACCAGTAGGCTAGCTGTCTGCTCCTGGGCTTCACCCCCTCGGCACCCTTCCCCCCCGCAGCCCTGGCCTCCTTTCTTATTCTCCTATGAACCAAGGAGCTTAAGCCTGGAGGGTCTGGGACGCTGGCAGGACTCTTCCACTTACGAACTGGGTGCCGAAGCTGCAGCTGTTGGTTTTCACACTTGTCCTGCCCTCCTCCTGGGCCCAGGACCTCGCTCCTGCAGCGGGAGGGGAAGGACGGGTGCGATGGACGCTGCTGCAGGAGGGAGACGCGGGCCTGGCCGTGGCAGCCCTTCTCTACCGGGCAGCCCTCCTCCGCTCTGACTGGAACTTTGGGGTTCCGGGAAACCACCTTTCTACTTCATTTCCAGTGTATCAGGCCAGCTCCGAGGCCTGGCTGCTCTGTTTAAATCGAGGTCTTCCTTGTCCCGTCCCGCCTCACCGACTCCTGTGAATCCTTCAGGTCTTGGAAAAGCCTTCCTCTAGGAAGCCATTCGAAATTCTTCCCACCCCACTGCCCCTCCCCAGGCCTGTTTTTATAGCCTCCCTCTTTACTTCACTCTTCCCTATCACGCACCACGTCTTTGTAAAAATATGTTCTCCCCGATATGAGAGGCATATGGGTCTGTCGTGTGTAAAGATTTACCCTCAATGCCTAGAACTTGCCAGGCATCTATTTGAATGAAAGTGGGCCTGGACTTTCTTAAACATGTTAGGTAATGTATTTGGACCTAATTTCTTTAGGTCAGGGACAAAGAAGCATTTGGTTTTGGAGCTACTGAAATGGAAGCATCTGTGTCTAGTGCCCACACAAATATATGCAACTGAAACTAAGTAAGAAGGTTATCTTTGGGGAAACAGATTTGGAAATCACTAGTAAGTCCTGGAAGGACGCCTCCTATACCCCCAATGTTGCTACTCAAATGGTCTGGATTTGGTGTGATTAGAATACAATTACAGGGGGTGGAGGACAGGGCTCCCACTCCAATTAGATTTTCTTTCCCATAGACTCACCCATGTTTTTCATCACAGAAATGGCCTCCGCCTTCCACCCCCGAGAATGTAAGCTGTCTAAACAAGAAGGGCAAAGCTATGGCTTCTTCCTGCGGATTGAGAAGGACACTGCAGGCCACCTGGTCCGGGTGGTGGAGAAGGGCAGCCCGGCGGAGAGGGCTGGCCTCCAGGATGGGGACAGAGTTCTCAGGATCAACGGCGTCTTTGTGGACAAGCAGGAGCATATGCAGGCGAGTGGACGTTTGTGGTGTTGCTCCCAGGGCTCTTCAGGCCCACACCTTCGCTGATTGCTGTCCTGGGGGTCAATGGCTTCCTGGCTGCCACCAGCGAGGCAGGACACCTTTAAGGCTGTACTTTCTGCCAGCTAATCAAGTCTCTTACACTTAACCAAGAGCTCTACAGATGATTCCTAGCTTTCAGTAATGTCAGGCCTAAAATGCATTGAATATCGGCTATATGCCGGGAACTGTACTGGGCAGTTTCATTTCCGTATTTTGCTAAATCCTCACACAGCCCACGAGGTACACACATCGCCGGCTCACAGCGGAGGCGCGGGCTCGGATGACGTGTGCATGCAGCGAGCACGTGGGAGCGCGGGACCCTCCCCCAGCGCGCCTTTTCACTGCACCCCGCTGTCTGCACAGACCTGAGGACCTGCTGCGCTCTAAGGCGGCATTCACCCCCAGAAAGGACCGGTCCTTCGAAGAGTTTCCTGGGCAGGGGCTGGGCCACACTCTCGGTTCCAACAGTGCCAGAGGCCCGGCCTAACCTGCACCTGGCTCTGGAGGGCTGAGGCGGAGATGGCCGGGGCGCTGTCTGCTGACTATCTGGGTGTCAGGGCGCAGCTATCAGAATCTCAGGGCCAGGTAATGACCCGGCAACCCCCTCTGGTGGTTAACAGAGGTTACTGGTTAAAGCTGTCCTTTCTTCCTCCTAGGTTGTGGATCTGGTCAGAAAGAGTGGGAATTCAGTGACCTTGCTAGTTCTGGATGGGGATTCCTACGAGAAAGCCATGGCAAAAAAGGTGGACCTGAAAGAGTTGGGTCAAAGTCAGAAGGGGCCAAGTTTGAATGATAAGAAACTGCCCCCCGTGATGAACGGAGGAGCACAGGCTTGGGCCCAGCCTCGGCTCTGCTACCTGGTGAAGGAGGGGAGCAGCTTTGGCTTTTCTCTGAAGACCGTCCAAGGTAAGCTGGAGGGCGGGGCATGAACAACTGACTTTCCAGAAAAACGATATTATGGATTAATGGCCTCTTTGACTAACTTTTCCGTTGCTATGGGTATCCAACAGCAGTACTCCCCCTCCCCAGCCCTTCCCTTGCCTGCACAATTCTGCAATGAGGGAGCCAGACATTGGACAGCAGCAGGGTTGGGGGGTGGCACTGGAGTTCCTGACCCCCAGTGTTTGTGTGGCTGAGCCTTTGAGGACAGAGGGTTAGAGGGTTAATACTTCTTTGGAATTCTTTTTTAGCTTTGTTAGGGTGAGGGTGGAGGGCAGATTGGGAAATAACAGCAAGAAAAAGAGGTTCTTCATAATAGCTACTTTTGAGTAAGAATGACATCTCTTTTCATCTCTTAGAGAGTCCAGGTTGTCACTCATTTACTCAAGAAATTCTTGGGCACCTATTGACGTGTCAGGCACTTAGAGTTGTTGAGGATACTGCAAAAATCCCTACCCTCCTGTGACATTTAAATGGTGCCCTCCTCCGCGGCCCAGCCTCACCCTGAGGTGCGCCCCTGACCTCTAGCTGAGGGGTACATAGTGACTGAAACCCCCGACCATCAGGAAGTCCTGGAAGTTCTGTTTCTGGATTTCAGACAGCAGGCTGACCTGTGCGCAGCTGACAATGGTTCTGTCGTGGTTTCTCTGGGATGGAGGCTGGAACCCCGGGAGCTGTGTTAGCCTTGTGCTTCCACCTCTCATGTTGCTATTTAACCTGTAGCAAGAGATATAAATTAAAGAGGCGTTTCTCAAGTTTGTCAGTTACTAAACACAGGGTGTAGGTGGTCGAATTTCTTAGATGTCCATTATCAGTAAAATGGTAAAAAATTATGATTCAGATTCTATTCATTAGGCCCTTGGGCTAAGGTGCAGGGTGAATGTTTTAGATTAGCTTCCTAAAGAAAATATTTTCTTCATGACAGAGATATAACAAGGTAACAGCAGAACCGTTTTTAAGGAAGCTAAGTTTAAGTTACTGTGATTCCTTACAGGTTTATTTAGTCATCATAAAGCAACCCTTTGCCTAGACTGAATATTAATATATTGAAAAAACTGACAGCATATCTTTAAGAAGCACTTACCTCACACCTCCGACTAATCCAGACTGCGTGCATGTGGGCTTCCCCTCCTGTGCCTCTGTCCTCTGTCGCCTGCATCAGCGAGATTTACTGGCTCCGTTGGCCTGTGATGGTTGGTGACAATACTAATTAAAGAGGACACATGGAGTGGATGTCTCTAATTCTACAAATACAATGATGCAGCAAGGGAATGGTTTGGTTCTTTCTGGTTCAAGAGGCCACCTGAGATTCCTTCTTTGCATTTAGTTGGGCTCAGAAATTCTATTCAAATCTACAAAGACCAGTTGAGTAACGGCTGTATCAGGCTTTGCCAGCAGCTGTAATTATGAATCTGAGTCAGAAGCTAAGGGCTACTTGAGTTAGCTCTAAAATTGCAAGCTCTAATTTTACATTATCGGGAGGAGACCCTTCACTGCTGTGCTTCCGGCCCAGCGGAGCGGCAACGTTTGTCCACCCTGCTCTCCTCCAGGTAAGAAGGGAGTGTACATGACTGACGTAGCACCTCAGGGTGTGGCCATGAGAGCTGGCGTCCTGGCCGACGATCACCTGATTGAAGTGAATGGAGAGAATGTGGAAGATGCCACTCACGAGGAGGTGGTTGAAAAGGTACTTGTCTTGCCTTAGCTTTCATCTGTTCTCATTGGGAGAAACGGGGACACGGGATAGTTTGTGATGGGGGAAATATGATGGGAAGTCGCCCTTTTGAATTAAGAGCAAACAGACCCTCTAGTGGCCTAAGCAGTGTTGACAGAGGTTTGAGAATAAGCTTAGTGTCATGTTAGCATGAAGATAAGTGTTCCCATTAACTTCATCTTTTAGATATTATTGCACCCGACTGGGAAAACCCTCTGAATTTATAGTAAATTCAATGTTGAACCAATGCTACTAAAATATTATACAACCACTGTGGTGATGAATGTAGAGCTACACATGGGGGTACCGGGAGGCCAGTTACCCTAAATCTTATGTCCCAGCACAGTCCCATGACACTGGAAAACAGTCTGAGGTTTTCCTTTAAGGTCATATGGAATCTTTTTTTAAAAAAATATAACCAGTGAGATTTTATTATTTTGCACAGTATACTCTATATTTCATATTGTGACACTATCGCTTTATTATTATTGCTATTTTATTTTTTATCTTTATTGTTCAAAGTATTACAGGTGTAAGCGTTCCCCCCCCATTGATCCCCTCCACCCAACATCCGCTCCCCTCCCAGGCCTTCACCCCACTATTGTGTGTCTGTGGGTTACGCATATATGCATAGAAGTCCTTTGATTAATCTCTCTCCAGCCCCCCCCACCCTGCCTTCCCTATGAGATTCGTCAGTCTGTGCCATGCTTGTGGATCTATTTTGTTCATCAGTTTATTTAATCTTGAACATTGACCAACCTCATTCTTAGTAGAGTGATATTTCAAAATAGACCTTTACCTTATTTTCTTTTCCAAACTCCTTTTCCAGCTTCCACCTACATGCCTTTCTGGGTTTCCTGAATGCCAGCTCTCCCTTGGGTTCGGTTGGCACCTGTGTAGGTGAGGTCACGGCGGACAGCTGGGAAGTGGAGGCAGATAAATACCAGCGAGGTGGCAGGAGACCGTATAACAGCTGAAACTTGCATTTTACATTCCATATTTTCTGTTGAATCCAGAGACTGTGCCTCCACACAGAAACTTTCCTGTTGCCCAGCATCAGTAGTTGGAGACGGATGCTGGCGCTCACCTGTGTGTCGTTGCAGGTGAGGAAGTCGGGAAGCCATGTCGTGTTCCTGCTGGTGGACAAAGACACTGACAAACACCATAATGAGCAGAAGATAAAATTCAAGAGAGAAACGGCCAGTCTGAAATTACTACCCCACCAGCCCCGGCTTGTTGAGATGAAGAAGGGAAGCAATGGCTATGGTTTCTACCTGAGGGCAGGCCCAGATCAGAAAGGTAAGGCAGGAGGAGAGCAGAAGGCTTGGCTGTGGACTCACCCAATTCTGCAGCCCACCTCAGTCCAGAGTTCCACGGGGCACAGGAAGAAGCTAGAGTGCACAGCTGGGTCAGCTTCCGTGTCACGCGGGGGCCCGACGGGGGGACCCCCAGGTTTCCAGAGCAGGACAAGGCAGAATTTGGATCTGGGCAGTAGTGTGCTGTTAACTGGCTCTCGGGGAGGGGTGGGGATAGGGCCTTAATTTGTAGCATTTGTGAGTTTTGAGGTATGAGCACCCCCACCATGCCTGATTTCAAGCTACCAACACGACACAGGATGCAAGGTTGGGAAGCACTGTGCGCAGCTGGTGCTCATGCGCCGGTGCGAGGCAGCTCCCGCATGTCACTAGATCTGAGGCGCAGGCGTGGGTTGGGATCTCGGACTCAAACAGAACCGGGAATCTTTCTGATTTCTTGTAACTCAACAAGGTAAGTACAGAGTCCTCTTAGGGAGGGTGAGTATGTAACACATCGATGTGAGGGAGACACATCGACTGGTTGCCTCCTGAGCACGCCCTGACTGAGGCTGGGAGCTAGCCTGCAACCGGGGTATGTGCCCTTGACCGAGAATCAAACAGGCCACCCTTCGGTCCGCGAGCCGACACTCTAACCACTGAGCCAAACCGGCCGGGGTAGAAATCCTAGTTTTTTAGGAGTCTTTCTGATCATTTATTGTTTTGGGGTTGGTTAGGTCAAATCATCAAAGACATAGATTCTGGAAGCCCAGCAGAGGAGGCTGGCTTGAAGGCCAATGACCTGGTAATTGCCGTCAACGGCGAGTCTGTGGAATCCCTCGGTCATGACAGCGTGGTGGAAATGATCAGGAAGGGCGGAGACCAGACTTCGCTGCTGGTGGTGGACAAAGAGACGGACAGCATCTACCGACTGGCAAGTAACGCGAGTCACAGATCCAGCGCTAGGGCTGGGTCCTTTCACTCATGCTCTCAAACTTTGGCTAAGTTCCCTTTTTTTGTTTAGCCGGCTCCATTCAGGGGCCCCTTGTGTTAGCTGAGGAGGGAGCCTGGCTGATTTTAATGGGCTGGGTCATTCTCTCTACTTGCTTAGTTACCACTTTGATCTTCAAACTGGAAAGTGTATAAGGATCATCTTTAAGGCTGCCTTGAAGCTCGAAGTGAGAGACTCGGGCATGCCATGTGATTGGCACATGAGTTGTAAGTCCTTAGGCTCAGGTGTTTGAAAGAATTTGCAAGTACAACTGTACAATTACTCTCGGTGACCTGAGAAAAATCTATGAATAGAAGCCTGGAAACAGGCAGATGTAGCCCTCGCTTTCCTAAAGAGGGAGCAGTTGGATTTTAAACTACAGACCAGTAAGTTCCATCCATCCCATGTAAAAGCCTACACAGGATTATTAAACAGCTTCTAATAACCTGTAAGGCTATTATATACAAGAAGGGGACTGACTTGGGAGGTGTTGGAGGTGTTACAGGACATAGCTTGATCAGCTAGAGAAGCTATAGGGGCCAGTTTTTGTCTTAGCTAAGACAGTTGAAGCTGCTCGGAACAGTGTAAGCCGTTTCTGCAGAGACGTGAGCTCCCAGTTGGTAGAAAAGGTCAAGGAGTCAGAAGGTCACTGCTCTGGCTGTCGTACAGGGGATCTGGCATTGAGTCCTTTCCAACTTCTTAGGACAGAATGACTTTGCTCTAAGTTTAATGTTTTGGTTAAGAGAGAACTTTGATCTGTAGAGATGACCATCCCCATCTTCCTCTTCCCCCCAAAGTAAGTTGCATAGGTGGGTGGGTGTCTGAGACACATCAGGGACTAAAACCAACACCTAGACCAGTTCCTGTAACTAGTCCTGTATACTAATAAATGTGTTACAGGAACTGGTTTAGGGGTTGGTTTTGAATGAAGAATGAATAAAAACTCACTGTTGTCCTTGGCCACAGGATTAGCTGCTACTGTCAGGCAGTTGATTTGCTTGTTTGGGTAGTGATGCCAGAGGTATTTTTGCATGCCATGAGTTACTGAAAATTTTCCGCATTTTAGAGAGAAAGAAATGTGGAAAATTTGCAAGCATATCCCTGAAAGTTCTGGAGTTAGTTGAATTGGGTGACTAGAAGGTTCTGTACTGGTGCTACTCTCATTCAGAAAGGAAGCTGTGGTCTTGTTGGTAAGGCAGATGATAACCGGAGGCCTCCACATCTAATTTTAGCCAGGCTGCTGAACAGGACGATTTGGGCAGAGCACACATTGTACTCACTTTCAATTGCTCCAGTTTTTTACTCATTGCCTTACAAATGTCTTGGGCATCTGTGGGCAGCAATTTAATTACTGATCTGGGATCTTACCATACCCAAATCTACCCTTTAATTCCCTTAACTAAAACCCAGACAGCTAAGCTCTTATTTCTATTAAAAAAATCAGTCTTATGTTCCTTGTTTAATGCCTGTTCTATATTTAAGACCATCACTGCCTTCTCCTCACGGATGGTCTGGGAGTTGAGATGGATTAGAAGTATATAAAGATAGTGAGGAGCTTGGCATAACAGAAGTGTCAGCTAATGGTCCCAACAATAAATAGTAAAATGGAGTTCAACAGGTCACAGTGCTGGAGGGCAGCAGGGGAAGCAAACATCAAAGGATCGGAGACACCAGGTGACCATATGGTTGCTGCTGCCACTGGCCCGCTCCCCATGAATTACTGTGTGTACTTTGGATTGTGATGAAAATAGTGTCCTGTGGTACACTTTCTCTAGGTGTTTAAGGAGCTTTGACAATCATCTTACTGAAGGGCAAGGGCCAGATGGACCTACTTTGCATGAGATAGTGGCAAGTCACCCAATGTGTGTAATCTCCCACATGGAGATGCCTACAGTTCAGGGGTTGCTTACTATCACCAAGTCAGAAGGAACTAGCAATTCTGTTAGCAAGGCTCTTTTTTGGATCCTTGTACAACATTCTGTACTGCTTTTATTTTATGTATATGTGCCATGTATTTGTTTACATGTTTATACACATTACTCCATAACCAAGCTCGATCTTCTTTTATACTTTTCATGGTTGGGGTAATAGAGAAATTTTACAGCCCACAGTGATATGCATCTGTAAGAGGAGTGGAGCATGAATGACACCTTGTAAACTAAACTCGCACATTTAATAGTGTAATTACTCATATTTACAATAAATGTTTCCCCCCCTTTATTTTCAAGGCTCATTTTTCTCCAATTCTCTACTATCAAAGTCAACAACTGCCTAATGGTTCTGTCAAGGATGCTCCAGCTCCTCCTACTCCTGCTCCTCTGGAGGTCTCATGTCCAGACACTGCGGAGGAAGTAGAACATAAGCCTAAGCTGTGCAGGCTGGTTAGAGGTGAAAATGGCTATGGCTTCCACTTAAATGCAATTCGGGGTCAGCCAGGCCCATATGTCAAAGAGGTACGGTAATCTGGTTCCCGCAGCCCCATGAATACAGCCACAGTCGGGAGGGCCTGTTTCTCCCGTTCATTGATGGCCTAGTAAAAAGGTTTCACTTGGGTTCAGTTGATTGCTGTCATGGTCCCGGGCCCTTTAAGGTAGCTACTAGTACATCCTCAGCTCACATCTGTTTTTCTTCAACATCTGGCCCACCCAGTTGTCTCTGGATACTTTCAGATCAAATAGAGCTGCGGTGACCGTAGGTGACAGTCACTGTCAACATTGACTGGGAGTGATGCTCATGTGCTCCTGTGCATCTGGCATAAGGCCCTACGCTGTAGGGACCGACAGTGAGAGACTATCCCTCTGGCTCCCAGGTTGGGAATGCAGGAGGGGACCTATGGAATCTAATGCCTGTACCCCGGGAGACATCCATGACATTCAACTGCGGTAAAGCTACTTACTCGAGCGTGGAAGCTGTAGCTTTCGCAAGCAGAAAGTATGAGAGCACTGCCCTTAACTTCTGTGCCCCAAGGGGAAATAGCCCCGTTAGCATAAATTCTCAGACTCCTGCTGTGCCTGGAGGGAAGCGAGTCTGGCAGCCCCTTATCCGCATTTGGAAGTGATGACTCAGGACCTCTGTTCACAGGTGCAGAAGGGCAGCCCCGCCAGCCTGGCGGGGCTGGCAGACGAGGACATCGTGGTCGAGGTGAACGGGGTGCCTGTGCTGGACGAGCCCTACGAGAAGGTGGTGGGCAGGATCCAGAGCAGCGGGAAGAGCGTCACACTCCTGGTCTGCGGAAAGGCGGCCTACGACTATTTCCAGGCTAAGAAAATCCCCATTGTTTCCTCCATGGCTGACCCGCTGGATGTACCTCCGGATTCCAGAGGAGCACAGGCGGACTCAGAGCACGACTCACACGTGGCGAAAGATCGAGTGAGTGGTGACACATTTCCCTCAGTGACCTAACTTCCAGTGATCAAACTATTTATGTACAAATTCTGGTTCTGCTACAAGTAAATGGATTTCCTCTCTCTGCGCCTTGGTTTCCTCACCTATAAAACAAGGGTAATTTGTAGGACCGCTATTAGGATTATATTTACCAAGACTATTAAAGCGGTTCCACTAGTGCCTTGTGCACCCTCAGCATGAAAGTGAAAGCTGGTGGTTAGAGACAGTTTTGTTTTAAAAATAACTGGTAGGGCCCAGCCAGGCATGGCCCAGCGGTTCAGCATTGACCTAGGATCCAGGAGATCGAGGTTCAATTCCCGGTCAGGGCACATGCCCAGGGTGCGGGCTCAATCCCCAGTAGGGAGCGTGCAGGGNCCCGGTCAGGGCACATGCCCAGGGTGCGGGCTCGATCCCCAGTAGGGAGCGTGCAGGGGGCAGCCGATCAGTGACTCATCACTGATGTTTCTCTCTCTCTCTCTCCCCCTCTCCCTTCCTCTCTCTGAAATAAAAAAAGATATATTTAAAAAAAAAGCCCTAGTAGGTATTCAGGTTTTATTACTAGGGAACAGTAAACATTCTGTATGTATTTAGATTAGAGAAATTCCTTGGCAAGTCTCAGTTTTTATTTTTGTCCAATTTCTTTTCATAGATGAACTTGAGGTCCAAAGGTGAACTGATCTATCCAAGTTCACAAAAGAAATGTTTGGCAAAGCCAAGACTCTGAAAGCTTTATATTATTTTTCTTTCATTACATTAATTCTTCTGATTGGTAATATAAAAGTACTAATTTTTAATGAATACCCACCACTGTAGTCCACTTAGGCTGCAATAACAAAATACCATAGACTGGGTGGCTTATAAACAACAAACATTTATTTCTCACATTCTGGACGCTGGGAAGTCCAAGGTCAAGATGTTGGCAGATTTGGGGTTTGGTGAGGACCCTCTTCTGGGCTGTGGACTGCGGACTTCTGCGGTGCTCACATGGTGGGAGGAGCTAGGGAGCTCCTGGTCCCCTTTATAAGGGCACTAATCCCAGCTCTGCCCTCATGACTTAATCACACCCCAAAGGCCCTACCTCCTAATACTATCACCTTGGGGCTAAGGATTTCACCATATGAATTATGGGGAGATACAAATACTCAGATCAAAGTACACACAATAGCCATTGACTAAATTCTAGATATTTTAACAAAGTATTCTCATTGTCTTTTAAGAATTCCATAATTGACTAGGGAGTCAATTATAGTACCATGCTAGCTTTATAGAAAGGAAATATATATAGACTTTAAGAAATCTGTTAGTTTCAAACAAACAGCAAGCTGAAAACAAACCAAGTGTAGAATTCAGGTCACCTGGCTTCTAGTAAGTGACTCTACTCCCTGGCTTACGTCATGCAACTCTATATAGATCTCCCATCTCCTGATATTCAAGCTCTGCCACTTATAGACCCTTTGTTTTCTTTTGCACAGGCCCACAGTACAGCCTCTCAGTCTTCTTCCAATTCTGAAGATACAGCGATGTGATGAGAACAAATAACGGCTTTGCTGATAGCTGTTTGTGGGTATTTAACGGAATCCTTTTCCAGGAAATGAGCTGCCACCCATTTGCCATCTCTGTCAAAGAACCCCTCTGGAAACCAGTTCATCATGTGTAATTGTTTTCTGCTGTCATTTGTCTCAGGGTGGCTCTTGCAGATGGCTTATTTATGGTCAGCTTAGGAGAAGTTAAGGTGGGGACCAGATTCTTTTCATGTACTCTCTTAAGCTTCAACTTAACTGTATTTCTCTGTATGATGATATCCCTTACTTCTATAGGCTCCTTGAGCACCAAAGATGATTCATAAATCTGTATATGTGGGAGCTGCTAATTAAAGTATCTGAGCAGATAAGCCTATTAAAAATATGCTTTTTAAAGAATGTTGTGGTTACTAAAATAAATGCCATTAACAATGTCTCTGAGTGTGCTTGAACCTTCCCTGCTAGCTGATCTAACTTAACAGTGTTTGTTTTTGGTAAGCATTTTATACTTGAACCTTCCTTTTGCCTCTAGAAACCCAAAACAAAATAAAACTCAGAATAAGACCTTGGTAATAATTTTACTACCAGAAAGTCTCTGTTTAAGGATTTTCTTATATTGCATTTCTGAGTGTTCTACAAATTTTCCAACATCATCTTTTACCGATGAAGAAAGTGAGTCATAGGATAGGAAAGTGACTTATTCCAGTTACAGTTATTCACTGCTTTACCCACAGCATGAGGGGCAGATGGGAAGAAAATATGGGATATTACTGAATTGAATGTACAGGAATTCACTCTTAAATGATACTAAGTTAAAGGAAATCAAGAAAAATGGCACACTTGAAATCTCTCTTGATAGAATCTATTTCAATTGCACCCTACCCCAACCCCAGAAAAGAACAGATAACCTCTTGGTTATTTTAATAGGACAAGGGCTGGGGTAGGAGGGGTGGGATGCTGACTCATGTTAGATCACACAAGCAAAATCCAAGCTATCCTTGACAAAATAAAGCTAAGGCCAATGAGTTACAATCTCTGATTTTAATGACAACCTCCAGGGAAAGCGAAAACCTTTTCCATGTGAACCTTGACTAAAACAGAAATCCCACATGTTTGGCCCAGCTACCGTAGCCTTCCCTTACCCCAGAGTTCCAGTGTATTTCTCCCTCTAGTTTCTTGGCTCTTTTCCATCCCCTTTCCCAACACTGCACCAGCCTGAAACCCACACAGGAGCTCCTGGCTGAGGGTTAGAGTCAGCTACCTTGCTCTCTCGTGCTCCGGCTGATGCTACTCAGGATCACTGTATCATCGGAGGAGGAAGGCATAAGCTGGAGGTAGAATATGATACCACAGCATTTTGTTTGTTTAAATAATATTTGGCCCTGGTCCCCTCCATTTTCCCCTCTTATATCTAAATTCTGACACCACTGGCCTGTGAGCAGTCTGTAATAGGCGCGAGTTCAAGGTGTCATGTGCTTTTCTGGTGCCTGTTTGTGAGCCAAATAGAGGAACAGTATGCTGGAGAGAGCACTGACCAGGAAGATCACATCGAACCAACGGTGGTAGAAGTTGAACTGCAGCTCTCCGAGGACTTCAGTGATTATGGTGCGGTACTCGAGCGGCATGCTCATTCGGATCAGCAGCACGGAGGAGACGAAGTACATGCCCTGTAAGTCAAACATGTCCATCCAGAAGTCATTTAGAATGGAGTGAGGGACAGGTCAAAGGACACAGTTAAATATTTAAAATATAAAACACTATTGGTATTTTACAGCTGTAAAGATAAAGCTGGTTTTTAAAACTTACCATTATCTGTGCTAACAGCAGGACGATGACGTTGGAGGACTTGCTGCTAGAGATGGCGTAGAAGAACTGTCAAGAAAGGGAGAAGAGGCGAATTTACGTGGTGCTACTATGTCCCGTGTCAAGAACATCAAGCAGCAGGTTCACACCTAACTGAAGGTCTCTCTCATGCCACGACCCTGTATGGCACCATTTGTATGGTTAAGGCTATAAAGGAGAGATTAAACACACCGAAAAAGCATCGTTATACTCTTTCCACGGGGCAGTTGGTGGTTTCAAGTATTACACTGAAATACAAAAGAACTGCAATTGCTAACAAACTTTAAGAAAGTGTGATACATCACTAGAAAGCATCAAAACAGATTACTCCAGGCTCCTGTGATTACTGGGCTCCAGAGCTCTTTCCAAAATTGTGCTAGATGCCTGGAGATCCTGTCTCCTTTTTCTCAACCTTTTCTTTCCTGTTATTCAACTCCTGGATCTGAAATCCCCATCTTTTACAGAGAGGACTCACCTCCCAGGAAGCCTTCCCATGTTGAGCAGAAGACAGTTGAACATTTTGCTTCTCCTACTTCCAGGTCCTCCTTACAGGCGACTCTCACAATTATTCTTCTAACCTCAAATACCTATCTCATCCTTTCACTCCAGATATCTGCTGAATACCTACCGTGTGCCAGGGGCTGCTCCCGATGTTGCTGACATATCAGTGAACAAAACAGACCGTGGTGTCACTCTATGACCTTTGGTAAATGCAGTTATCTGATTATATGACGTAAGTACATCATCATCAATTCATGTATCAGCTTAACTTTTAAAAAAATCTGTTGTATGTCTTTTATTTATTTAATTTTAATGTTTTTATTGAAATTTTTTTATCTTTTTTNCGTGGTGTCACTCTATGACCTTTGGTAAATGCAGTTATCTGATTATATGACGTAAGTACATCATCATCAATTCATGTATCAGCTTAACTTTTAAAAAAATCTGTTGTATGTCTTTTATTTATTTAATTTTAATGTTTTTATTGAAATTTTTTTACCTTTTTTGAGAGAGAGAGAGAGAGAGGAAGCCAAAAAGAAACAGTGATGTGAGAGAAAAACATGGATTGATTGCTTCCTGCATGCACCCCTGCAAGGGATCAAGCCTGCAACCTGGGCATGTGCCCTGAACGGGAATCGAACCGGTGACCTTTCAGTGCACAGGACAATGCTCCAACCAACTGAACCACATAGGCCAGGGCTGTTGTATGTCTTTTAAATATTTGTGACTGTTGTTTAAGATTTCAAATGACAGAAATCTTAAATACGGTAAAATTATCTCATGGTGCCACATGTAATTAAGCAAATAATTACTTTTTTAAATTCTGTGATACAACATACCTTGGTAAGGGTGATCAGCAATCCTCTGATAGATGTGACAATGATTATTCCAACCAGAATGAAGGAAATATGTTGGGACCAGAACTTCACCTGTCACCGTAATAGAAAGAATAAGTCTGTTAAGTCTCTGTTCAGAGAGATGTGAAGATTAAGAAGATGCACTGTGGCCCTGGCCGGTGTTCTCAGCAGTTAGAGCACTGGCTCACGCACCAAAGGGTCACAGGTTCGATTCCTGGTCAAGGGCACATACCTGGGTTGCAGGTTTGATCTTTGGCCCGGGTCGGGGCATGTGCAGGAGGCAACCAATCCATGTGTCTCTCTCACATTGATGCTTTTCTCTCTCTCTTTTTCTCCCTCCCTCCCACTCTCTCTAAAAAAAAAATATCAATAAGAAAAATATCCTCAGGTGAGGATTAACCAAAAAAACAAAACAAAAACAAAGCATTCTGGTTGCTTATGTGATTGAGAGGGAACTTCATTAGGCCCTATCTGATTTAAAAAAAAAATTTAGGGAAGAAAGCAAGTGGCAAGTAAAACACCTCCAGCAAGACTGCAGGGGAGAGTGGATGTCTTCACTAGCAGAGTAGCCAAGGTGTA